GAGCCGCGTCCCTGCTTCCCCTTGCCGGGCTCAGCCGCGACCCTGGGGCCCCACGGAGCTGCAGCCACCCCCAAATCAGGCTGCTCCTGGTGTCTCTCCCCCAAAATAGTCTGGAGCTCTGCTTGGGATGGTGCCACCAGGGCCAGGTTCCTGCTTGGCTTTGCCAAATGGTAAAGCCCTGTGGAGAGGTGACCTGCTGTGCTTTGCAGTGCAGGACCTGCTCTGCACCAGCCCCGTAGAGCATCCCATGGTCCCCACGAACCCCTCACCTCTCCCTGATCATAGAATCATAAAATCATAGAATGCTTAAGGTTGGAAGGGACCTCTAGAGGTCATCTAGTCCAACCCCTGGCACACGCAGGGTCACCTAGAGCACATGGCACAGGACTGCGTCCAAGCGGGTTTGGAAGATCTCCAGAGAAGGAGACTCCCTTATATCTCTTATATGCTCCCTTATATCTCTTATATATACACACACACCAGTATGTATATAGATATATGTTTATATATACCTTATATATATGTATGTATATATAAATTCCACGAGGCCATTTTTTGGCTGCTGGCTTTTGCACGTTTAATGCCTCCAGCCTCTGCCTTGGGTGCAGGAGGACCTGCCAGAGCCCTGCGCCCACCCGTGCTGCTCTCAGGCACCATCATTTCTGCCCGTTTCCACTTCCATTCGTTCACTTCCCTGTTAATCCCGAAGCCGCAGGCGTGTGGGGGCGACGGCAGCGGGGCCGTGCCGGAGTGACGCGCGGCTCCGTGCTCTCTTGCAGCGCGCGGAGGCGGCGCAGCGCGAGGTGGAGAGCCTGCGGGAGCAGCTGGGCGCCGTCAACATCCCTGTGCCTGGCCTGTTTCCCCCCGGCCGGGGCCGCTGGGGTGAGGGCCCCCCCGTGGCATTCACGAGCCCCCCTGGCATTTCGGGGTGCAGCCGGGACCCCGAGCAGCGGCTGTGCCCTTGCACGGCGCCCCGTGTCCCCGGGGTGCCGCGGCGCTGCCCGCGTCCCCTCTCCCAGCAGGACAAAGTGAACTATTCCCTGTGCTCAGGCTCGAGGCTGGAGGCAGCTCTGGCCGCCAAGGACCGGGAGATCCTGCGGCTGCTCAAGGACGTGCAGCACCTGCAGAGCTCGCTGCAGGAGCTGGAGGAGTCCTCGGCCAACCACATCGCCGAGCTCGAGGGGCAGCTGGCTGCCAAGAACGAAGCCATCGAGGTGAGCGCCCTTGGAAGCCCGGGATGCGCTTCGGAGGCTGGTGGCACCTGCGGATGGGGCTGCACGAGGCATTGCTGGGGCCTTTGCCCATCACCTGAGTGCTGCGGACAGGCAGAGATGGGGCTCGCAGACGGATGGTGGCCAGTGGCGCGAGGGGAACAGGCAGGTGATGGGGACACAGAACTATGCTGACCCCCATGTTGCTCTGCAGAAGCTGGAGGAGAAACTGCAGGCCCAGGCGGACTATGAGGAGATCAAAACGGAGCTGAGGTAGGGCCCGCTGGGCGCCAACTCCATCCCTGCAGCATCCTGTGGCCTCACAACGCGGTGCCCAGCCAGGTCCCCGGTGGTGCAGAGCACCTGCACCTTGGTTGATCTGGTGGCTGCCAGCACGGACACCCCATTGTTTGACATGGCCACTTCCCAGTCCACCTAAATCCTCTCTTTTCTCTCCCAGCATCTTGAAAGCCATGAAGGTGGCCTCAGCGAGCTGCAGTGTTCCCCAGGCAAGTGCGGCTCCAGCCCGTGTCCATCCTGCACACGTGCCAGCTTGGCCTGGCCACCCGCTCCCTAACCCCCTCCCAATGCCATTCCCTCCTTCC